GTGATGAACCATATGAAGTCGTTGAACCGTAGTCTTGAGGTCAGAGTTAAACGAAGAAGGGCCAGGATTACGATGAATATCCATAGAAATAGTAATATCAGTTGGAGGATCGTGACCAGGAATAGATAATGAAGTATAACCATGCTTAGATATTTTTCCAACGGCAATACGAGACTTGTAGAAACCAGATTTGAGACGAAACGAAGTTAACTGACAAACATTCCAGTGCAAGCCTAGCCTGCGTGCCTCCGAACGTTTTACGACAGAAAATTCCGGATGCAGCGCAGGCAGTACCTTTTCCCTATGGTATCTAATGTCGCTCTTATRTATACTAGTATACTCTCTGACAAGGGAGGAAAGTAAAGTCGCCATATTTGAAAATACAACACTCTAAACCACTTTATACCATATATAGGGAAATTATATAGGAAAACAAAGGCGCGCGCGAAAAAAAAGTTCTAGAGCATTTTTATCGATTTTTTTACTCTTTCGCATTACAGAGGACATTAYTTTGACCTCGAATTTTTTTAAAAAATAATTATTTAATTTTTCCGATTTTATTTCTAAATTGGGCTCCCTGTGGGATTCCTGTGGATATGGCGGGCATCTCTAATGAAGATGAACGCGTACGTTTGTTTATTGGCGGCAAAATGAAACATCCCCCTTCCCCCTTGAGACCTCGCCAGTAACGACCCTGTAACCGTCCCCGTTTAAGTAGCATTAAAAGCCATGTATTTAGCCTGCATTGCCGGCTGTCTGCCGTTTTTTCAAACAGACCGTGGGCAACGCAGGCTACCATGTATGGAAAGCTCTAAAGACAAGAAAAGAATTAATTAAGACACGTTTTTTACAATAACAAAAACAACAAGAAAAACGATAAAAACCGGTCTCTTTTCTAGCGATCAAAACAACCAAGATCAGAGCGCGCGCTCGATGACGACAGCTTTATCTGTCTGTCCTCTTATTGATGATAAAAATCAGCCAATCAGCGCGCGAGAAATTTGTAAAAAACGCTATTTTTCCGGAAGTGATTTGACCAAATTCTCAGAATTTGGTCTGGGGT